TCTTTGTGCATATTTACCATACTATGAGGTATTTGTGGTAAGGCAAATGCAAATGACTGGTATTGTAATACTTGCTTAAAGAAACAATGTTGTTAAATCTGTGCAAGTCTTCCTAACAGCAGAATATGGCTTATCTTCCAGATTTCTTCTCAGGGCAAAATAAAAACATTGCAACATATGCAGCAATAGCAAAGTAGTAACAGAAAACATGATGCCATATATTTGTGGGAGGTGCTACAGACATGATCATTACTGTATATGTAATCCCTTTATCTTAATTTCTTTATAGTGCCCTGTCTGCCTAGGTTCATTACTCTGGGTTTGTTAGGTGTGGGTGTGCTATGTAAATGGCATGTTTACCTGAGAATGCCTGGGTCACCTGGAACCAAGCTAGGTATATGCTGTATTGCCCAGGCCAAGCTGCTGGATTCAGGTCACTAGAGTGCTTTTACAGGCATGCGTGAAAACCCCCTTAACTGCTGATTATTATGACACCATTATTCTTTATCCTGCCCTTCCTCCACAAAGCTCAGTGTGATGCACATCATTCTCCTTTTCAATGTATCCTCCTCACAGCTCTGTGAGGTAGGCAAGGGCGAGAAATGGTAACTGGCTCATGGTCACACAAGGAATGTCCTGACTGAACCCAATACCCTGAGTGCTAGAACAGCACTCAAACCACTAGATCACACCACTGGCTCTTAAACGTTTAGGAGGCTTTATATAGCACTTTATAACACGTACAGCACACTATCAAGAAGGTCAGTATTACATCCCCCACACTGAGGATGAGGATGAACTGTAATATTTATTTGGATATTCAGATACAATAGTACCTTGGTTTAGGAACAGTCCTATTTACAAACTATTCTGTTTACGAACTCCACAAAACCGGAAGTAGTGTCCCGGTTTGCGAACTTTACCTCGGTCTAAGAACTGAAGCCGAATGGTGGAAGGGTACCGGCGGCAGGAGGCCTCATTAGGGAAAGCGTGCCTCAGTTTAAGAACGGTTTCGGTTTAAGAACAGACTTCTGGAATGGATTAAGTTTGTAAATCGAGGTACCACTGTACTGCTTTTTCATTTAAAAACAAACAAACCACAAAGCCATATACAGTACTACACCATGCACTAGCTTTGGATTGGAAATGCAAGCTTCACTATTTGCAGTACTTAAATTAGCAGACAATCAGATAAAAACCATTTTACAAGGAAATGTATCACTAAAAAGTAGTCATGAACAATCAACACCAGGACAGAAGAGAAAACCAGAACATCAGCTGAAACTGCTCCAAGTATCTTCAGTGACACTGCCCTCAGATAGACAGTTTTGCTGGTGTGACTGTACTTGCTTACTGACAGCCCCCCAACAAAAAACACCCACACACTGGTAACAACAGGCTACCTGACCCTGCAGTAGACCCAGATGCCAACTTTGTCCACACGCAACACTATTACAGGACCTAATAATGCTATTCACAACAACAATAATGGGGGTTTAAGCATTTGCCTTCTCATCTTCCCATGTGAAAAACACACACACACACACACACACTCGTCTAAATTCTACATAGAACAAACAGACTAGTATTTATGCAAAATAATAAACAGATACAATTCTGACACCAGACATGGTAATATTCAAAAGCTAGTGGGGGCACTTTTCAGCCTCCTTTTCAGTGACACCCGCAATTTCCCTTAAAGTAGCAAAGGACCTTCAGGAGGGAGGCAGCAATGCAAAACTGCAGAATTAACAATGCAGCAAGTGGTTCAATGCTATAACTTGTGGAGTGAACCAAGACAAATGATTTTTAGCACATTACATATGTTAATTGGCTTACCAATGCCAGGATATCTGTATTATTAGCAACTGTTATGCAAATTGCAACTGTTAATCATGTAATTATCACTGTCTGTACTCTCTCTGTTGTTTATGATCCGCAAACAGCCTCCACCCCACTCTCTCTCTCTCTCTCTCTGTGTGTGTGTGTAATATACCTGTAACTCAAGATAACACTTCATGCCTATGCTGAAGTGGACTAAGTGGATTATAGTTCATGAATGCTTATACCATAATAAATTTGTTAGTCTTTAAGGCGCCACAAGACTTAATATGAGGGCTATCCCTCTGGAAAATAAAAATGCCTGTCATTTCTCTATATCATGTGGCCTTAATAGCATTTTAAAAAAACAGCAGAAAAAGAAAATGTGAATTAGTGCAATGATATACATAATGTGTCTTGTGCCTGATTCTAGTTCTTCCACTTACCCTTCATCAGAGCGTCTTTTTATGCTTAGAAATTGCAGTAATAGGCCACTGTCACAGTAATAAAATGCTGCGTTAAAAAATAGTTGTCACTTAGAGCGGCCATAAAACAATAGCAATGAACATTGGGATAAAAAATAGTAGCAGTTTAGTGATAGCCATAAACCAATACTAATAAATGCTAGAGCAATATATAGTTCAAATAAGTCCTGGGCAGAACAGCTATCTTTCCCAGCTCCTGGGGAAAAGAAACTGTAAAAGTAGCCCTGATTGGCCAATATCTATACCTTTGTCACACCCCTATTCCTTTGCAATGCCCCCTCTATGTCTTCTCTTTTTCTGTACCATGCTCCAAAAATCCCCCATTCTGGAGTCTCCTGGCCTTTCATGTTTCAGCACTTTATCTTACTGAATCCGTCCTGCAAGCTGGGTCTGTGACATCTGTTGGCGCCCTTCATCTTGCTCTGCCAATGCCCGCTTCTCCCCTATGTCTTCACCTGTGTTTTAATAGAGTGTTTTCACAAACAATGCTAAAAGCAGCTGTTGGTCTCAATGGCCTGGTACATGTGTCACGTTGAACCATATCTTAAAACAAACTATAGTTTAATGAGAATGTGCAGTGGGCTGGTGCTACCACACCACTGAGAAAACAAGCCAGAGTCAATTTGTTGTGTCACCTGAACCTGAGCTTGTGATTGCTCTCTCTCAAACAAACGATTAATGGTAGCCACAGTTTGTTCTTGGTTGACTGCTTATGGGTTTGTTTGTTTTTGGAAGAAACAAACCATGAGTCAGGTTCAGACAATAGAAGCCAGACTCTGGTTTGTTTTGCCTGTGGTGCAGTAACTGTACGGGAGGAATGCCGCATGAACTTTTTAACAGTGTGTACTAACACACTGCTAATTTACGTTAAGCCATTTATATGCAAAATGGGCTTTTGTTAACATAAACCGCAAAGTGAAATAGACCCGCTTGTACATTAAATGTGCATTCTATAATGTAGCTTTTAAAATTGACGTATGAACTGCAATTTTGACTGGTTTGAGGATCATTTACGTATAAAAAATTGCCTTTTTGTTATTTTTCGCTAAAAATAACAAGCCCCCCATTTTTTTTTAGTAAAAAAAATTCAGGGGAAACTGCATTTTGAAACTGGTTTTGGAGCTATTTGCAGAGTAATAGCTGAAACGAATGGAAATGGGCTATTGTTCTTGGTTTGATTTTATATGTTGTGGTCTTGTTTGTGAACTGCCTTGAGACCTCCAGGTATAGGGCATTGTATAAGTTGAACTAATAATAATGATGATGATGATGATGATGTCAACAACCCATGTGGTGTGGGGCTGGTCTGGACGGTGCTCTGTACTACTAGCACCACTATGTGACTCCCACCAATAAAAGCTTGGAACCTCCCCTTCTCCATAATTATGGCCGATTCATAGACATCCTGCCACATCATCCTATCAGCTGCTGCTGGGCCTTGTAGGAATCAACAGTGCAGCTGCTTCTATAGAGCCATAGATTGCCTTAGATTTCCCTCTCCCAGCCCTTTGGAGAGAGCGTGAAGCAGATTCCAAAGGGATGGGTTGATACCAACTTTTTTTTGTTAGTGCTGTTTGAAACCAACATGCTTGTTAACTGGTGTTACTGGCAGTTATAATCCGATGGATACTAAGTACCGCTGTCAGCACTGCCAGCGTGTGATGAATTGCACTCCCGTAATAAAAGAAGCTATATGGGGAAAAGGTTGGCAGGGCACCAAAATTCCGTTATCGGCTGTTTGGTAAAGATGTGCATGAGATTTTGTGAGCTTGGCAGCAATTTTGGGAGTTTTACTTTCCTAGCAAATCCCCCATTTCATCACATGCTGTTTCTCTCTGTTTGTTACAGGTGTGCGTCTGTGCACTACGGTGCCGACCTGCCAGCAACCAGCATCATTATCACTTTCCATAATGAGGCTCGTTCCACCTTGCTCCGCACAGTGAAAAGGTAAGGCATGCTTTTAGCTCCGACGGGACTTGAGGTTTCAGCCCTAAACAAACCTGCTTGGAAGTAAATCAGCGAGGCTTACTCCAGAGTAAGAAGAGTTAAATCTGTCCTGGAAAACTGCAGTCCCAAGTGTATTTAGTGGGAAGAAAATCCCACTGGGCTCAGTGGGATTTATTCCTAAGTAACTTGGTTGCAATCTAGCTGTTTAGCTCATTTGATAGTCAAAAAAAGCACCTGAACCTCTATTTGGATAAATCTGCAGACCATTTGCTCACTGGATGCTTGGTGATGGGAGTTAACCCATATTGCCTGCTACATCCACAACCATCTCTTTCATAAACTGTGGTTCTGCTTGCATAATCACAGCATTGGTATCACTGTGTTAGAGACTCGGGGCCAAAAATTGGTTTTGTTTTTGTTTAAACCAACTCCCAACAATATACCTGCATCCCATTCCCTTTTTAAACTCATTTAAAGTCCCCCAAACTGTAATCATCGGCTGTTACCACCATTCCAAATAGGCTGTCGTAAGAACTTTGGGTTGTCCCAGTTTTTTTGTAGACACCAGATTATATGTTCATCAGTCATGTATAGGACATATCTATGTAGGTTCACAGACTGAAATCCCCCAATGCAATAGATTGAAGTAGACAAGGGCTGAAAAGCTGAAGTCAGTGCAAAGAAGGAGCAAGTGAGGAACCTGCAGCCTTCACTCCTTTTCCTGCTTTTTTATAGACTACCATTTATTAAGCCAGGAGAAGTTTTCAATTAGCAATAATTGAACCTCGGATTAACCTCATTGGCTACAATAGTGCCTGAGCCAATATCTTATATGACTGCAATATACAAGTTATAACTGGGCAAAGCATGAATGATGACATGTACTTGAGCAGGGACACAATATACCTCTGCCCTGTAACAAAGTAATTTAACACTTCAACATACGGTATGAAATTCCAGAATAGATAGCATTTCTACCCGACAACTCTTTAGATATTTGAGAAATTCCCCAGGGTAATTCAGGGGACTTATTGGGCATCAAGCAGCAGATGGAGAGGTGGTAGTGATGGGGAGAGGTATTTTGGTGTGAGAATTGAACTGGGAGCTTCTTCATGCAGTGCATATACTTGGCCACTTAATAATGATGATGATGATGATAATAATAATAATAATAATAATAATAATAATATTGCCATCCATCTGTCTCAAGAGACAATGGAGGAGTGTGCCTCTCGAGTGAAGCCAGACTGTTGGACAGTTACAGTGTCTGCTGTGGCTGTAGAGGCCAATACGGGAGAGACAAGTTTTGTTGCAGCTGGGGCAAATGAAGATGTCTGGTTGTGCTGCTGCAGGTGCACCATGGCATTTCTTCTTTCTGCGCTCCTCCTGGTGGTCATTCCTCCTCTGGTCACTGTCTCCAGGCACTGCAGCTGTAATGATGATAATATACAGCAAATGTCTTATAACTCAAAAGGCACTGAGAATGGAAGGTTTTTATCTGGTGCTGAAAGATGGTCGGTGCTGGCCCCAGCTGAACCATAATGTGTGGGTATTGTGCAGCCGGGGTGCCATTGCTGAGAAGGTGATCCTTAAAGCCACAGTCCTTATGCGTGCATGTACAAATTACAATTAAAAATAGGAGTCACACCCCAAAGTTCTGCTTTCTATTTTAACTCCCCCTTTCTAGTTTTTGTTTCAACATTATTGCATTAGTATATATATATTTTAATGTAATAATAATAAAAAAAAAGTCAGCTGAATTTTTTTTCTCAGGAGGAGGGATTTGTGACAAAGCAGCAACCAATCAGGGCTGGGCACAGCCGGTTTCTGCTGCAAACTAGCAGACCTTGTGTCTGCCTGCCTAGTCTCCATCAGGTCACATAGCCCTGAATAGGGTTCAGGCATGTGTGAGAAATCCAATTTTTAATATATATTCTTTTCATGCATCCTTGGCTTGGCTGCTTCTGGTTTTCTTTTTGCCACAAATAAACATTTCCAATGGCCATTTCCCCCAATATCTTTCCAGGCTAAAGAATGCAGCAAGACTGTTTACTCTTGGGGGTTGTTGTTGTTTCCTGAGAAAATGTCCTCTGCTCCCTTTGAGATATTAAACTTTTGCTAAAAGTGTCCTTTAAGCAGTCTTCCAGGTCAGAGAAATGCTTTCTCTGTGGACACAGAGGTGGGGAAAGCGGGAGGGAGAGAGAAAGGGAGAGTGTATCTCAGCTGGAAGGCAGCTGAGAGCACCTCTGGCAGTGATGCATTATTCATCGGAACTATTTTCCCTCACTCCAGGTCTTAGGGTCTTGCAGAAAACTGCTTTGTGAATAAATAAGAGGTTCTTTCAAGTGCATCCTGGCTGGGCTTCATGAATGCAAGGATGCTTTTGCGCACTGGAGAAAACAGAACAAATCTTTTGCAAGGCAGTATTGGTCTTGGGGAGGCTGCCCCTGGGGAGCATAAAACCTTTGCTCCAAACAATAGGCAGTTAGGCCGGCAGGACAGACCCACAATCTTTATGTGCCCCCCTCAGCAGTAAAACAATCAAATTCAATAACTGGCCATTCAATAACTGCCTCAAAATAAAGCCAACCTTCGAAGCAGAGGCACTGACAGCACACACCAGCTGAATAGCTCCTTAGCTCCCAGCAAAGATGGCTGAACTTTTTTTGGGTTCAGCAGTGCAACGCAGGAGCTATACAATATATTGCCCATCTAAGTGCTTCCTTTCCAAAATGACAGCTGCCAGGTCTCAAGTATTCCTGGATGACTGTTGTTTCGGGGCCATTTCCGCAGGTCAGGAAGGCTGAAGCTTGGAGCGTTGATGAGAGCTGTTGTTTTATCAAGGGTAGGGCTGCCATATGTCCAGACATTACCTGGATTTCAAAGGTAGAATTGACGTCCGGGAGGGATTTCCGAAAGGCGGCACTTTGTCCTGGATCTCAGGCAAGTCAATCGAAAAATCGCTTTTGTGTGTGTGTGTGTTTTTAAAAAGCTCCTGGTTTTTACTTTTTGAAATATGGCAACCCTAATCAAGGGAGCAACTCAAATGGTAAGCCTATATAGGAGCTGCGGATTCCACACTTTCTTGGGTCTCAATCACAGAGCAACGCCATGGGCTGGGAACTTCAAAACTCTGAAGTACCTGCATTTCTCACCATCTCTTCTGCCTCTCTAGCCCTTGAGGGAGATGAGGGGAGTTCTAAGAGCCAGCCAGAAGCTCAGGCAGTTCGTGTAGGAATCATCATGGCTGGGGCAGGAATATCAGGTTTGATGGCACTTCAGGATCACTGCAGGGTGGAGATCTGCTGGAGGGTCCAGCTCTCTTTGCTCTTCATCTGAGGAGACCTTAGGTTTGAGGCAAGGGCGGGGATAAATCCTGATAATTTTTTATTCTTTCTTTTTTTTAAAAAAATTATTTATACAACAAGAAAAAAACACACACAAAAAAACCACAAATACCAAATTACACACAAATTACAAAAATAACCATAGACACATAATTTTCTTGGCAAACAATAAAACATCTATTGGTCTTAACACTAAAGACCCAACTTACCGTCTATTCCATATTTCAAATTCATATTACTTATTGCCAATACACATTTTTTCATAATTAAACTTATTCTCAATAAATCTAATTTCTTCTATCTACCTAGCAACTATTACTGAAGTTCCTCGAATGCTGCAACAGAATTTAAACTACTATATTTATTTTTCAGATATTCTTTGAAAACCTCCCATTTAGAAACAAATTCCTGTTTTGATTTATTCTTTATTATTTCTGATAAACTATCTAATTCGGCATATTCTGTCAGCTTTTGGATCCAATCTTGTATAGAGGGGATTTCATTACTCTTCCATTTTGCTGCGATCAAAACTCTTGCTGCCGCCGTCGCATATAAAAAGATACCCTTCCTCTTTTGTGGAATATCCAAATCTGTTATTCCCAGCAGGTAGGCCTCTGGTTTTTTATTGAAAGAGAACTTTAGCATTTTTTGCAGTTCTGCATGTATACTCTCCCAGAATACCTGTATTTTCCTACATATCCACCACATATGGTAGAATGTTCCTGAGTGTCCGCATCTGCAACAATTACTTGACACATTTTTATACATTTTTGAAAGTTTCCATGGTGTTAGATACCATCGATGTTGCATTTTTTGAAAGTTCTCTCTAATCGTGTAACAGTTTGTGAATTTCCAATTGATCTTCCATAAATTTTCCCATTGGGCCATGGTTACTGAATGGCCAAAATCCTGGGACCACCTCACCATTGCCACTGTTACCTCCTCCTCCTTGACTGTCCAGTCAAGGAGGAGTCGGTAAGTTTTGGAAAGAGTTTTTCTTTTAGAATTTACAAGATCAGATTCGAATCGGGAAATTTCTACTGAGAACCCCTTTTGTTTGTCAGATTTAAATTTTTCAAATAACTGATGGTATTGGAACCAGTCTGAAATGTGTTCTCTTATTTCCTCAATTTTTTTTAATTTTATTTGGTTATCTTCATTTTTTAGAAGTATTTTATATGTTGGCCAGCTTTCCTGAGTATTTTTCCGTTTTACTGCTATGGCTTCTACTGGAGAAGTCCACCACGGGACTTTAGGCTCCATCAGGTCTTTATATTTTTCCCATACAGCAAAGAGTGACTTTCTTATTATATGGTTGGTAAATTTTTAATGAATTTTCGCTTTACCATATATTAGGTAGGCGTGCCATCCCCAACGGTTGTCATAACCTTCCAGGTCCAGGAGGTCCGGATCCTGCAACGTGCACCAATCTTTTAGCCAGGTGAAACAGGCTGCCTCGTTGTAAAGTTTTAGGTCGGGTAGGGAAAAGCCTCCTCTCTCTTTTATGTCTATTAAGATCAGGTGTTTAATCCTAGGTTTCTTCCCTTCCCACAGGAATTTGGAAATTTCTCTTTGCCACATCTTGAGACAACCTGCTTCACCCATTATCGGAATCATTTGAAATAAAAATTAATCTTTTTTATTTTTTATTCTTTCATAGCACACCTAAACCTGACTGCAATTCTGACTAGAAATGGTTTCTTATCTCTAATTCCAACTAGGAATGGGCTAGAAATGAAGGGGGTCATAATTCCTTCCCATTCTGGAGATTCTTTCCCCTAATCCTGCCCCTGAATGAATGAGGGTTGGTTGTTAGGAGTTGGGGTGGGGAGAGGCATTCTGCCAGTCACATCATTTTGAAATCTCTGGAGCTAAACCACAGCATTCAAAACAGGTTCCAGGATTAAGACCTAGCGAATCTTGACTCCTATTAAATTCCCATTGTCTTCTACGGTTAAGAGAATACTTATAGCTCCAAGTCTTTGCTCATGGTGATAAAGTGTAAATCGTGGCTATGCTACACTCAAGGGTAAAGTATAAGGCTAGCAGGCAATCATCCATGAAGTCATATATCTCCCGGACTTTGCATTATCTGAATCAGAGGAATGGTTGGAGTTGACCTTCAGCAAAATGTTACGGTTAAGGTTATGACTGAAGCAGGGATGGTATGGGGTTGCAATGGCAACCAGAAGGCTGACAATCAGTGCTGGAAGGTAGTAAAAGCTTCCCTAGTACCTGGCCCATTTCCAGGCCCAAGTCTACCATTAAAGCCCTTCATAGCTTGATTCCTCAGTATCTGAAAGTTACTCTCTTCAAAGACCCCAAGATCTTCAAACGAGGCCTGTCTCTTAAGTGGTCCCCCATGGTGACATTTAGTGAGCAGTGAACTGTAGAGTGCCCCATCAGAGACCCACCTCAGAATCTTTTTGATACCAGACGAATAGGCATTTTTGTTTTCCCTCAGTGATTTCATTAACAAAGA